TTTTTTTTGGAGAGCCAGCGAGAGAAAAGGGGAAGATGGGTTGGGGGAGGGGCTGAGAAAGTGGCAGAAAGAGCGAGAGAGAGGAGGCTTGGCAGCTACTGTGGAGAGGGGGCTGCCCCCAGGGGCCCCTTCTACTTTGGGAACATGTTCCTGTCAGGCAGGGGTCAGCCTCTGTTACCTCTTTTCTCCATGATTCAAAATAAGTATTGATGTTATGTTTTAGCTATTTAAAAGCCAGCTGCCTTGCTCATTTCAGATACTTTTCCTGGTACGATTATATGTGGTAATAGCTGGTCTGTGTATCGTCTTTCACAAAATCTAGCCTTTCAGAGCCTCAGTCTTCAAATGATATCAATCAAAATTTATGCAATTCAAAATCCATATGTATAGAGTCCCAGCTCACCTCATTTCATGATAATAGCAGGCCACATGTTGTGTACATGTCTAAAACACTTTTCTTGCTCTTGACTGCGTTAACCCTAGGGGCACCCTGTGTTCTCTGCAGCTTGCCCAAGTGCGCAGCCTAACACATTGATTAATACTCCGCACCGGCGGAAATCTTGACTAATAAAGCGGTGCGCGAGCTAAATGCACACTAATAAAACAAGGAGTGTCAGAAAGACTTGAGGATGTGTGTTCACATCGACAGCCCGGGAAGACCTAAGAGGTGGTGGGAGTCAGCTAACCCAGATGTTCCAAATTGTCTCCTATTAACCATCTCAAAGTCGATCTTTGCCCAGAATAAATGTAGTGACGGGTAGGAAACCAGCCGCGTGGTCCGGCCAGGCCCTTCCTTGAGTGACTGGAAGGTAGGAGACCTCTGGCCCCTGACCCCAGCCAGGCCAGCCCCTGATGTGCGCCTGTTGTTTCTACACTTGAGCTTGGAGCAGAGGCGAGGCCACAGAAGGGAGGGTCGCCCTGGAAATGAACCCATCATTACAATGCCTTACTCCCGGGTGGGGAAAATTAATGTAGGGTTTTTGAGGGTTCCTTTGCATTAGCTTTGAGACCCAGTCAACACAATGCTTAAGGTTTATTTTGTTTTTAATTTTTGTTGTGTGTGTTTCCCCCTGCCCCCCCCAAGAAATAGCTGATAAGTAGGTGGTTCAATAGGACTCTAATTCACCGTACTTGGGTGTTGCATCCCCGGTGGGCGGGTTCGGTTCCCGCACGGACTGTCTGTAACTCCGCAGATGTATTTGCTCTTTTAAATGACGCAATCCTTCATATGATCTATGTTTATCAAAGGCAAAATTGGTAACCGTCCGTAGTTGCACCTAGCGTTTGCCTCTGACAGGGTACATTATTTACTTCAGCTTTAATATACATTACAAATAAGATCTGCTCTCATGGAAAAGCATTAAAACATTTGGCAGGGGGAGAGCTGAACATTTTCCTTAATTTGTTTTGGCAACTCTGAAAAATAGAGGTCATTACACACACTCCTCCGTTCCAGAAGCACACCAAGGAACAAACATTTTAAGAAAATCGAGACATAATGAGAGAGACCCCAACGTCTTCAGAACGGAGCAGGCGCGGGGGCGGAGGTAACTGCGACTCCCACGCCCTGGCCATCGGGCCCCCCTCGAGTGGATCTTCCCAGGAACAGAAAACCAGAGGCGGGGAGTCCGAAAGCATTTCTTTCGGAAATCCTTAAAAACACACAACATGACATCCATTCGCCAGCATCGAGCTAAATTGGTTTCACTTCTTCCCCCTGAAAACAAGCGTGTTTGAGGCGCCCGCACGTGCATTCACCTCTCTGTCCTGCGCTATCAAACGTGGGTACGGAAACCAACTCGGAGAAATTAAGCACGCGTGGGATTGACTGCAGCGGGTGCCCGAGACCACTGGGCGAGGGAGAAGCCCTGAGCACTGCAGATGTGTCTTCCTCTCTGCCCTCCAAACGAGCCAAGCGGAGCAGGAAAGCTGTTGACAAATTAATACTTTAAGAAAATAAACTATGGTCGTGTTCAACACAGAGCAACTTTATCCTGATTAATTTGTGTTGGAGGCTCTCCAGCCCCCATTTACAAAGCGCGGCAGTTTGTACAAATGTAATTTCCTAATATTTACACGAGGAAAGCCTCGGCAGTTAGGCTGTGCCTCCAGTGTGAGTTTTGTGGTTTGTAAAAAAGACAATAAAAATACAGAGGGGTAATTGTAAGCACATTTGAAAAAGAAAGGAAGAAAGAAAGGATTTTTTCTGTCCTCGGTGCACAGCCCTGTGAAAACGGGCCGTGTGTGCAGAGGCTCCGGAGGGGAAGCCAGCGGCAGCCGGCGGAGCTGGAAGTAACGTAACACCCGGCACGGCCGCGAGCCGCGACTGGACGCGGCCCAGGGCCCGGGAACACCCACCGCCGCTCCAACCTGCGTCTTTTGCCTCCTGACATAATTCGTCTTTGTCCATCTACCCGGTCTTGTCATTTTAGGCCGTTATTTATGTCTCGTGTGAGGCACTCGCGTGACTCTCTGATTTCATAAATAGGAAAAAAGAGAAAAATGCAATTGTGATGTGTTGCTTTGTTCTGAGAATATTAAAAAAATAACCTTTCGTTTTAATGAGATTTTTCCCCATCAGTTTACACAATTTTACAGATGCAAAATGAGCTTTTGGCTGTAAAATATTTCATCGCATTGTCTTACACAATGAAGATGAGATGTTTTTTCTCTCTCTCTCTCAACTGCATGGCAATTATTTTTTAGTGTTTGCAAATCATAATATCATTTAAAAACCATATTTTATACCTCATCTAAAATACTTTTATGGCAGTAGGATGGAAAAAAAAAATAGCATCCATTTAACTACTCTTTTTTAAGTGGCTGTTATGAGCTTTTGTATAATTTTCCCCAAGAAAAGGAGTAGCTGAAAAAGCTCGGCTTTCCTTGAAAACATCTCTCTCAAGCAGCATCTTCACAAAAATCCTCAGAATCTAATTCCCCCGACTGGAAAGCCCAGAGAGCCTGGATGTAAAAATAGTAGCCCTGTCATTTCACATTCATTAAGTGTGAAACTCAGAAATTAATAATGTAAAAATATGCTTTTTAATTAGTCTTACATTCTGCCCAATGTACTTAAATGGGATCAGCAGCTCCCTAATGATTTTTTTCTTAATAAAGTATTAGCCTGTGATGCACCGGGGTTGACAGGTATGATAAACTGGGAAGTACTTTTGGAGGCGTATGAATGATACCAAAATAGTACTCGCCCATTTAAATGTAATTAACATTGGGGAGCAATATCACAAGAAGAGGAGCCTGCAAGATTTTTATTTCAGGGTGGTTTTTTTTTTCATTTCTTATTTTATGAGGAGTTTGATGATTGCGGCAGTGATTTTATAATTTAATTACCTTTGCTGAAAGCTAAGCGCCCACTAATAGCAGGTCAACAGGATCATAAAGCAGCCCTCAAAAATATTAAAGAGAAAGTAAATCCCTTTAGATGGGCTTTTCACGTATAATATATGTGTGTGTGAGTATGTATGGATATATATGCATGCATGTGTTTTGCATACACACACAGAGATACAGGGACAGTAAGATAAATGGAGGCGGGCAAGCGGTGCGTCCGTGTGTGTCCACTCAGGAACTATTTCACTCGTGGAGGTGAGGACCGTAGGGGAGAAACTGTGGTTTCTTGTCGTCTAAAGAGAACTGATGGCAGGAAGTCTTAAATGCTTCCATTTGGAAAAAGGCCAAAGAAGACCCCAAAAACTGTATTTGTTCAACACGCAGATATTAACACTCACCAAAAAATAAGAGGCTCGAGCCCGTTGTCACCTGATCACCCGCTAGCTTGCAGCCTCCAAAAGACGGCCACCGCGCTGAATGGCTCCACTAGGTTAAGTCGCCGGTGATACACGGGAAACGGGTGTCCTGACACGTCCGCCGGCTGAAGGACCTCCCTTCAGGCCTCAGAGTGTGAGTCCCAAATGATGGTCACGCTCAAGTCGATATTTAAAAAAAAAACAAAAAAATGATACAACAGGTAAAATCTGACAAAATCCAAAAAGTCTTGCGTTTACCCCTTACCAGAGAGGGGTGGCCCCGGGCCAGGTTCCATACCCATCGTGGGAGGAGCCTGTGTGACAATGTCTGATGGACACTCATGGGTGACCGTGGACTAGACACAGCCCCTGACGACCAAGGACAGCGCCCCAGAACCAACGCTCGTGGCGCGCAGTGTGTCTGCCCACGGAGCCCCGGGCGTCCCCTTCTCGGTCACCCTCTGTCGAGTACAAAAGACGGGACAGAGCCACGGCCTAGTGTGCGCCGCGCCGGCAGCCCGCGCTGAGCCCCGACGTGCCCACGGCCTTTGTTCCAGAAGCAAACTCGAGCGGAGCCCGGAGACCGCGAGGCCGGCGCGGTGGGCGCGTCTCGGGAGCTGCGCTCAGTGACGGGGAGCCCGGGCCCTGCTGGCTAACGGGGCGCGCAGCCGTGACCCTGAGCTTGCGTCGCACCCCCTCATCGCGGGATGCCCTGCGCACGCTGGCGCTCGCCCAGTCTCAGCACTGACGCGACCCCGCGACCGGGCACAGAGCAGCTGCGTCGGGAGACGGCCGAGTCCCGGACAAGGGGATGACGCCTCTGTGCTTTCACAGCTTCTTTATCAACCGTTTCTCTGGTGTATTTTTAGAAGGAAAGGGGGGGGGGAGTTTGTATAAAATGCACTATTTTCACACTTTCCTAAAACTCAGAGGCACAGAATTCCAACTGGCAGCTTCATGAGGGCAGGTGGGTGTTTCATCGTCGGGATGTTTCTGAAGACTGACGAGAAACTGACCGCAACACATGGATTACCGGGGACACCACAGATTTCTATTGCTACTGAAAATGGGCTTTTTTCTCTCTGCTGTGAGCGATCTCTGCCCTTGCTGTTGGATCCCTCCTTCGTGAGAGAGGCGCCAACATAGTATCTAAAGCTTTGACTATTTTCATTGCACTCATTCTTTCATAAAGAATATTGCCAAAACGGTTTTATGCATTTGTTTATGTTCTTGAATCACATAGAATAAATTATTAAAATGGTTTTAGTAATCTGGGACTTTTCTGAAACCTCACTGAACTTTAGGTTTTTTGGAGGTCATTAGGAGTACCATATTATTAAAATACGCTCCATAGTTGCATTCCATTAAAACAGTGAAAACCACCTGTGACTAAATGAGGGTGATATTTAAGAGCAGATCTTCAAGACACGGTCACGCCAGCCAGGTAGACCCTCTTCGTGGGGTGTGTGTAATGATGTCACTTGCACATGAGAGAACTCTGGGGTTCAGGGACAGTGACTCGAGCGAGGCCGGGTCTCATCTAGGAAGTGTTCACAAGGGGCAAAACCCAGAGGTCACCAGAGGCCAGAGGGATGGCCTCAGCCGCTACGCAGCCTCTCAGAGGATGCCGGAGGCGGCCCAGGTGCTGGGGGCCTTCACCCGGAACACAGCTGACCGTGCCCATTGGTGCCTGGGTCCTGAGACACAGAGATTTTTGAGAATTATGATTTGGGAAATATTTGTCATCACCTGCATTTCATCGAGAGCCTTAGATATCCGCACATGAGAGCTGGTGGGCAGTAATGTAGACAGAGGAAGTCAGGCCCTGTTACCCCGCTTACTCCTAGTGACTTAACTGCAAATTTCGTTAAGGCGGGATGACAAATCCAAGAAATAGTGACTATTACCAAAAAAATGGTATAAGTAAAAATAACAAAATTTAAAATTGATAATTTAGCTTCAGTGGGTTCCTGTAGAGCACTGTCCCCCTCCTCTCCCTCTCTCTCCCTCCCCTTCTCTCCCCGTCTAGCTCTCTCTCCCCCTCCCTCTCTCTCTCTCCCTCTCTCTCCCTCTCCCTCCCTCTCCCCCTCCCTCTGTCTCTCCCTCTCTCTCGCTCTCCTTCCCTCTTCCTTCCTTCTTTCCTCTCTTCCTAATTCTCAAAGTCAGCTGTGAGGGTGATCTACTTCCTTTCCATCTGACTTCATCTTCTTGGAAAATAAAGCTCGGGCTATTTCCTTCAGGGGGGTGTAATTTCTTTCCTGAATGGAGGGACTTGCCCCGAGAGTTTCACCCCATGGGAAGGGAACCAGGGGCCATCACACTGACTGGACAATCCTGGGAGCCAGGAGACTGTGCTCTGGGAACCTTAGTGTTAAGTTTGCGGTCCACCGGGGTCACTGCTGGGTGAACATTCCACATGTCACAAAGGGCTGCTGAATGGCCCATGTCCCCCAAGGACAGACCCAGTGGGTGCGGGTCCTCTGCTCGCAGAGCCACCAAGAGAGCGGTTCCTGGTGGACAGGAGGTGCCCACCACCAGCCTGGCCTCACCTCCAAGGCCCGCTCCAGTGACCACGGCGTGACAGGTCCCAAGTGCCCCTTCTTGTGAACCCACAAAGGATGCAGGTTTGCTTAAGTGTGAAATGAAATCAGGGGCTTTCATGGGACTAGAGACAAATCACTGAACAGAAATGGAGGAAGCTATAGCGCAATCACTAAAACCAAAGGACTTGCTTCTGAAGGACAGGGAGTCCCCAGCCCTGGGATGGGGAGCCGGGAACATCACCGTGGAGATGGGCTTCCTTCCCAGAAGGACTGGAGATGGCTCCCGTCACAGGCTTTCTTAATGGCCAATCCATGCACCGCCATTTGTGCAGGAGCCGGAGGGACCGAGTGTTTACTGACCAGATGAGAGAACACGCAGCAGGGTTGGCAGCACAGGACGAGCGAGGCCTGGGACACCCAATGGACCCGAGCAAAACAAACCACTGCAAATAGTCCCGGTACATGAACTCCAAGGTCATCGCCCTGCAGAGACTCAGGTTAGACATACAACCTGGCCACCTGGGGTCTTTGTCCAGAGTCCCTCTTGGCTCCAGACAAAGGGAGTGCCCAGCGACCCCACTGCCCACACCCGCGCCTGCGTCCTGCCATTCCATCCCACCCTGGACCAGACAAGGAGAGGCTCGACCCGGCCCCAGGTTCAGAAACAAATCCGAATTCCAAATGGAATCTCAATCTGCATCCGCAAGATGACAGTTAATTGAGGGGAAAAAAACAAATTCAGTATCAGGTGTCGTAACTGTCCAAACAGTGCGGTAATGGACGGAAGTTATAACAGTTGTTCCTTTTAAAGCCTGTTTAGGAAGCCTTAATTAACATAGATTTTGTTTGTGTGTGAAGATTAAATAAAAACACTCTTCAGCAATTGGTTGACAGATATAATGAAATAAACACAGCTGTGTTTTAGCAGTGATGTCTCCCCAACTCAGGCTTGAGCATGGCTGAGAGCATCCATCCCTCTGAAGGCATCAGACCGGGGAGGCAGCTCCGGTCTTCTCTGGTACAAACGGCCACCAGCACTCGCAGCAATGGTTTTATCACAGAGGGAAGCAGCCAGCTGAGTGCTAGCCGTTATGCACATACTGTAGGAGCGATAAACTGTCTTCCAGCCCAAGAACTGCTACAGTGCCACCGGCTGATATTAAAAAGCAGGAGCACAGCTCCACGGCAGGAACACGCAATCATCATGCTCTGTGACGTGCGGGGAGAGTCACCTGCTTGGTGCAGCCCAACACTGTGGTGAGAATGGAGTGAGACGGGCTGGGACTAGGAGGCCAGGAGGAAGGAGTCTGTCCAAGGGATGTCAGTCCAATGCGAAGTCCGTGCAAATATTGCCAGAGGAAGAGGCACTCGGCAATTCAGGCCGAATCATCCTGACTCGGTTCTTGGCCAAATCGGGGCACTGAATTCTTGGCGTGGAGGTGAGACGGGCCTGGCAATCCACTCCACTTTTGGAAGAACTCCTGAGTGACCCCAGCAGGTGGCGATGATGGGCACCAAGGGGTGGGGACCTGGAGGCTTTCTGGGGTTCACCTGTGGGAGCTCCCCACCCTGTGGGAGGAGGGTCCAAACACTGAGCTGAGAAGCCAGTTCCCTCTCGGGAGGGCCAGTGCGGCCAGCTCGCCAACGTCCATCTCTGCATGGGGGAGGCAAGCACTGCTTTCTATCTGAATGTCCACTAAGATCAAACGAGAGCAAGGACGTCTTGGCAGGCTCTGGGACCCATTCCGATGTCACAGCTGCCGAGGGAAAGAATTGCCTGCCGAGGGATCCATAGCGGGAAACCGAGAAGGGCCCAGGTTTTTGTTGAGTGCTGCCAAATATTTGGTGGGCTTGGGTGACTGCTAAGTTCCTCCTTCCTAGAGCAGTTTTCCCATCACACTTGCCTACAGTACAGTCATCCGGGGACATGTCACCGATTTCTCGGTGAATGAATCTTAACAAAATAAATCCAAGATGCTCCTGGAAGTGAAAGGAAGAAATGTCAGGCCTTTCCAAACCCTTAACACTCCCGCTTCTGAGCAGCAGATGGGGCTGCAGGCACCACCGGATTCACGACGTGGGGGAAGAAAGAACCTTCTAACCTAAAAACCAACTCACTCAGAACCATTTCAAAGGACAAATCGGGCTCTTCTCTGTGGCTTCAAGTAGCAGCACGTCGGCTTCCCGCCGGGACCCCTACAGAGTATCCCAGACATCGCTGAGAATTAAAATTAACTTACTTTTTTAACGTGAAAGATTTTTAAATAATTCCCCTTCCTCTGTCCCTCTAAGCCTGTTACAATACGATTTGCAAGAAAACAAAATAATTGTCTATAATTAATTTAATCACTGCAATCCATCCCCCAATTTCTCAGAACGGGACAAGACCTCCATGGCCCCCTTGCTATGCTCATGGGCACGGCACACCCGTATGCATCCGTGCACACCATTCCTTAAATCGTCCTTTTTGGGTTGGATTCCATAGCCCGCGCCATCGCAGACTGGAGAAACTCACGTGCCCAGTTTAGGCCGCGCGCCAGCCTCTGAAAACCCGCGATCACGAGGACGCAGTGGAACCGACCAAGTGAGCGTCTTGTTGGAAAAGGGCACAGGCTCGGCCAGGAGATCAATTTCTCCCGCTGGACTCGCGGGTCAGGAGAGAGCCCTCGGCCTGCCCGGTGGAGGCGGGAGAGAGCCAGCCCGAGCCGCCGGGCAGCCGGGCCGGGGCCTGCAGAGGCTCACCTGGCTCCAAGATGTTTCCTTAGCCGCCAGCCGAGTCCGCCTGGGGAGAGAGACGAGCAAGGAGCAGATGGACAGATGCCACTTCTGGACAAATCCGGCCCACAGTGTGTCTTTGGAGTGAAGGCTGCCAGGTACGGCTGTGCATTGGGGTCCACTCTGAACCCAGAGAAAGGAGAGCACGCCTGCCCCTGGCAAGGAGGAGACGGGCTGCCAGCGAAAGCCTCGATTTTATGCTGGTAATAGAGATTGGAGCAATTAACAAGTATAAATTGTTTCAAAAATAAGCTTAAATCTGCATTTTATGTGTGCAAGTTTCCAGCTGTAATGGGA